AGTCTCACTTTGTCACCCTAAGTAGAGTGCCATGGCATCACAGCTCACAGCAACCTCAAACTCTTGGGCTCAAGCGATTCTCTTGCCTCAGCCTCCTGCGTAGCCTCTTAAAAGGTCTTATAGCAAACATTTCTACAAAAGAATCAAATTTATTTGGAACCAGGAAGAATTGTTTGAGGATGAGTAGCTTCTGAAGCAATGTGGTACATCTGATAACTTATACTTATGCACTGATCTTGCACAGTATTCACGCATTTGCAGCTTAATACTGCTCAGTGTTTCACCTAAAACTAATGAATACCTAATAAATGGGTTCCAATTCTAATTTCATCTTCATCTTCCCTCAGAAAATATTTACTATATCAAAAATCTAGGCCATAGACATTGTTTTTCCAAGAGCCTAAAACAGTATTTTCTCCCTTCAGTTGTTAGCTTCTTGTGGAATGCTATAAATGCAGCTTCTAGATTACTGGATAATCTTCCCTAGACAGGCTTGACCCACTTAGATAATGAATCTTTCCAGCACCTGTTGCTTCATTAGTACTCAGCACCCATGAAAAATTATTTTCACTGTAGTCTATATAGTTTCATCTGCAATTCTGGGATTTTTACTTTTAAAAAATGTTTTCCATTGGAAAGTTTTTATAGGGAATGATCTATATATACGAACATGGGTAAACTGCCAATAAATGAGAAAAGATAAAAGTAAGTTGCAAAAAAAAAGATTTAAAAAAAAAAAGCAAGTTGCAGAACTACATATCTGTATTTATAGTATACTATGATATGTTTAAATATTATATATATATAGGAGAGGGGGAAAAGCCAAGAAGAATAAAACATATATCAATTTCAAAGCAGTGGCGACCAATGGGGAGAGAATGGGAACCCAGATTTTCTTTTTTAGGGGTGAGGGTTAAAACTGCCTATGCCTCATATGTAACATTTTTATTTTCACAAAAATAGGAGAATGTATTCACGTACTACTGTATTATTGCCATAATTGAAATGCAACTGTTTAAAAAAGAAAATAATGTTTTGTGCATATGGGGACATCTCTCCTACTCCCCAGCTCTGCTACCTTCCCCCTGCTCCTGTGACAACTACCACCTGCACCCCCCAACTACTTACTGATAACCCTTTTATTTCTTTAAGAAAACAGAAGCCATCAGAGCAAAGTTCCCTTAACTTCCCATCCAAGTAATTATTCCTTTTGTGCCCCTTCTCTCCTTTTCTCTTGTTTCAGGGATGAAATGGCCCCTCTCTTTGATTTATTGTTAAAAACAACTTGGGACCTCTGCATTCTTGTGGGTATGCTCAATCATCCCTTTGTCCCTTTTCCTTCAGACATTGAACATGACTGTTGAATGCTGAGTTTCTTGGGAGCTCTGTACTATGCCCTTTCTCCTTTCTCTGCGCTCATTCCCTAGGTGATCTCATACATCCCTGCTGTTTTATTATTTATTTATTTATTTATTTATTTTGAGACAGAGTCTCACTCTGTCACCTTGGGTACAGTGCTGTAGCATCACAGCTCACAGCAACCTCAAACTCTTGGGCTCAAATGATCCTCTTGTCTCAGCTACCTGAGTAGCTGGGAGCATAGGTGTCTGCTACAACACCCAGCTAGTTTTTTCTGTTTTTAGTAGAGACAGGATCTTGCTTTTGCTGTCTGGTCTGGAACTCCTGCGCTCAAGTGATCCACGGCCTTGGCCTCCCAGAGAGGTAGGATTACAGGCGTGAGCCACTGCACCTGGCCCATTCCTGCTGTTTTCAAAATGCTCCAGCCCAGACCCTAGAGGACTCAAATTTCATAGGCACAGCATCTTGGGGAGTTTTTGATAGGTATCTTAAATTTACTGTGTTCAGGGCAGCTGCTATGGCGCAGTGAGTAGGGCGCTGGCCCCATATAACTGAGGGTGGTAGGTTCAAACCTGGCCCCAGCCAGACTGCAACAACAACAAAAAATAGCTGGGCATTGTGGCGGGCGCCTATAGTCCCAGCTACTCGGGAGGTTGAGGCAAGAGAATC